ATCAAGTGAAAAAAATATAAAAACACTGTAGTGTGCCCATTTTTAGCGCCTGGGTACGAGGCTGTGCAGTATGCATGAGTATGAGTACTTTCGCACACCGGAAAACGCATGCATACTGTGGTGCGCATGTCAAGTAGCGACAATAACAAAAAAAATGTAAACAATACTTACTTGACTAAAAAATGACTGTAGAGCCCCTTTAAAAAAAAATATTTCCAACCATCAAGTGAAAAAAAAAATTTCTTCTATAGGTGTACAAAAAAATATATATATTGCCTCTTAGAAAATCCCCCCCCCCCATCACTTTTCTAATGGTCCGTCCCTAATATAAGACATATAAATTTTGAGAGCGATTTGTGACATTTGTCAACAATACAATTTCGTTTGACTTCACCAAAGGTGGCTGCACCCGTTATTGCATACAATGGCATTACAACGCCAATACATTATTGGTTACAACGTGCGGAACGGCTGAAAGGTCATTTCTCGCCAGAATACTGCTGTTCAGTAATGAATTTGGTATCCGTAATTACAATTTCGTACGCTGATTCGAACGATGGTATTTTTCCTTGTGGGGTCACTTGGATGCATATTAAACATTTAAACCAGAGATAGTCGGTCTCAGTCAGCGATTTAGACGGGCAAGGAATTTTCAGATAGGCGGTGGAAGCATTTGTTTCGAAACAAACTCCTCCCCCCAAACCGTCTGCTGTCAGGTAGCGGTGCCAAACTTGACACATCGGTGGGACACCGCAATTTTGCAACAGGGGACAGATCACAATTAACTCTTCAATTGGCCATATGATTGTAGTACCAATGTACCAGCACTGTGATCTGACAAGTGTATCACTACTATAGGCAGCCCAGTAGCTTTTGACCGCCCATTAGCCCCAGCGAGTCAACGCTCTTTCGAGCGTCTTGTTCTAATCTAATTAAGTCTTCCGAAATGGCATTTCTTGCATTTTGGGAAGATGCTGTTTTAAGTCATCCCACAAATTGTCCTAAAGTAATTTCATGAAAAGGTCAAGACAGACAGACTATTATGTTGCTAAAAACAGTATATATGTTTATGGCTTTTTGTACGATATTTCCTGAATATTCTAAAATATCGGAAGAATTTGATAAAACTCGGGACACCGAAAGATTGCTGATTCCCAGGAAAGTCGGGAGAGTTGGAATGTCTGAAGACAAAGAATAAGATAGTGTGATAAAATTAAGAAGATTATGAAAACATGGTAAAAAAGGAAAAGGAACCAGACGAAGACAAAAATAAGATAGAGTGTCCAAAGGATGGCAAAATGTAAGATGATGTGACAGAATTGGAAATATTATGGAGGACACGTGAAAGGTTTGGAGACCGAGTTACCTTTTGAGGAAACAAATGTCAAACGGGCAACTGTGGCTGAGAGTCGCTTGTATCCTTCTTTGCCCTCGCATAAGTCACCACCACCAGAACGTTTCGTGTTTTCAAAGAACAAGGTAATGGAGTCTTCGGTTGTTGAATCTCTAATATCACTGACATAAATTGTCCTAACTGCGCTTGCTTCATCTTCTGGTTCATTGCGTCCTTGGTAGTTTACTACGGAGCTGTACTGGTTCTGTTTGAAACAAATCAATAATATAAAATGCTGTGGTTTGCTGTATGTTTAAACTACTTTAACACGATATCTCAAACGTGAGGTCTGCTTACGTTAACCCGCCAATTGTCAAAGAAAATACACCAAGACTTCAAACACTACTTAAATGTAATGTTCAGTAAACGTAAGAACTCTAAGAACTTTCAAGGGCGATAGAAAATATGGTAACGACACTTTGGTCTACCGGTCATCCTCTTTGTTGGAAGAACAACATACGCACCTTAAAGTAATCATTTTCAGCCAACGTTTCAAGAAATGTTATCATTTCTTTTCTGCCTGCCTGGGTTCCCTTTACCTCAAGTGAGCAAGAATCAATTTCCAGAGCAGCAACGCCTTCCGCTTTGCAACTTTTTCCCTTCTCTTTAATTCTACCCCAACAGTGCGGATCTATTTGTTCAAATATACTTCTTATTTTCTTCTTTTCGTTAATTAAACGTTTTAGTTCTTGTTCAACGTTGTTCATCTTTGATTTTTCACAGACAATCCAGATATTGCAAAAATCCACGAGTTCTTGGTCGACCAAGACTTGATGTTTATTAAACTGTTCCATTTTGAATTCTTGTAGCTTGTTTGACTTTGCCAGAAAACTCGCTGTCTCTTCGTCGACTCTGATGCATTTCTCTGAGGTTTTCGCATGAACGATGTTCAAAAGTCGTTTTTCCTTTAAAAATAAATATAAAATTACCTCTTATTACTTGTAAATTACTTACATTATTAGTACACTATACAGGTGTATGTCTCATTTTGAACATTAAAACTTCTCAAAATTTTATTTAAACTATATAGCACTTCTTAGGAACCAGTAGGGCCAAGCATCATCTCTTATTGGTCTAGTATTACTGCAAGTAATAGTCTAGTAAGTGTCATCCCTTATTCATCCAGTTTTACTACAGTAGCATACTAGAATACCAAAATAGTTGCGAGGGATGAACCAGGCGGGAATCGTAATCTAATAATAAATATCAATGCCCAGCATAATGTCCGTATAATAATAGCCATAACCAAGAGAATGAAACTTTGTCTTGGTAATTATGGCTATTATTATACGGACATTATGCTGGGCATTGATATTTATTATTAGATTACCAAAACAACAGAATCAGATACCTGCATGTTGCGGTAATTAAACTCCCGTCACCAGTTAAGGTGAATAACAAAGTATTTAACTCAACTTAAAGTACTTAACATTACACGATTTTACTTTTGAGGGTGGAAAAGAATTAATACGTCAAATTTTATTTGTCTAATATAATAAACTTAGTATTACCTCGTAGTTATCACATTTCTCCAAGGTCATAATCCTAGCTTGGACGCCTTTAGTGCCCACAGCTCCTTTAATGGTTAGCAACATTAACATGACATCATCTTTTTTTAACTCATCATTCACAATCTGGCATTCGGAGCGCTTCAGAAAATCTATTTGCCGATCACTCATCTTCACGTCAATCTCCGAGATTTTCATCAAATCCTGAAGGACCCTTAATTGGACATCTTTGATTCTCTCTGTCGTTCCTAGAAGTGACAATTTACCGGACGAGTTTTCCATTCCATGAATTTTTACTCCGGGAAATTCTGTCATAAGTTTCTTGAAATAATGAATAAAATTCAGGAATTTCAACTTATTTTTGTTTTCGATTAAAAACTGTATTGATTCAAGTTTGGATTGTTCTATAAATCTATCCATCGTTGCTTCTACTGATCGCTTTTGACGAGTTACATCCTCCTTTTTTCCAACTAGAGTAACTCGATAACCATCAAAACTAAAGTTAACTTCCAAAGCTTCGAATTCATCACGTTTCTTTTCCATGGCTTCCTTGATTTTCCCGAAAACAGTTTTCGCGATTCTTACTTCGTCTTTGACAAACGAGTACAAAAACTCCTTCAATTTGTTTTCAAATTCCTGCGCAAGCTGGGGGTCATTGAAATCTTTTGTAAAATGAAATCGTGATGTCTCTTTATCATATTTCATCGTCTTAAAGTCGAATTTGTTTTCAATCCCCTGTTTATTAAATATGTAATTCATAACAAGAGGGTCGATAGGGTAGGCGACAAAGTATTCCGTTTTTTTAGTCGTGATTTCTTGCAACTCTTCGAAGTCATCATAGGACGGAATCACGTTCAAAGAAACACCTTTAAATTTATGTTCCTTTTTGACAAGTCCTGAAACAACTAAAATCAGAAACCTAGTCAGTTCTGAACTGTTCTATCTATGGTCCAGAGAGGGTAATTTTTTTGGTTCAGTGTTACTACAAGGGGAAATTATAACTAAACTGACTCTATTCATGGTGGATATAATTCTATCAATTGTAAACTGTTCATCCCCATGCTTTATTGATTCAATACGTCTTACAGATTCTGACTGGAGCACCCAGATCGTGGTAATTTGTTCAGTATTTGGGCAAAAATTTCATGAAAATAAGTCAGATGCATACCTGAAGTTTTTTCAAAGTAAATATTTGCAACTCCATTTCTCTTATCCATCATCATGTCCGTGACTTGACCGCCACCGATTTTTTTATTAGAAAATTTATACCTGATATCATCCGACCATGTTTCTGGTGGTATGTTGCTGATTTTGATGCCTTTAGTCAGTGGAGCGAATTCCAGAGAAATAATGGAGCTGGCCAACTTCATGTCTTCTTTCGAGCTTTCTTCTTTTGAATCATCTTCACCTAAATACAAAATTACTTTTTGCTCAGGTCATTTTTGAGTGTGGCAATCGACTATTTACTTATTTAACAACTTTAACTTATTGATACCATACACTAAAATAAGCTCAGTAGATGTCTCATGTTGAGTGTACACATATAACATTTCTGAAGTGGTTCAGTATAGAACACGAACTGAATGAACAAATATAAATATATTTATTTTCAAAAAATAAAACAAACAGCCATACACGGTATACATCTACCTATTTTACCTCTTAAAATCACGATGGCTTTACCATCTTTACCAAATACAACGTTGAAAACGTCAACATTTCTCGTTGCTTCTACAAAGTTTTGAAACATTTCTTTGCTCGTCTCTGGTTTAAGGTTTTTTGCAAGTAGAATGCTTCTGTCATGTGTTGGCTCGAATTCCGTGCTCACTTTTAGCACATTACCCTCCAGTTTAAGCGGTGTTTCGTTGGCTTTCGTGAGCACATTTTGTGCGTCTAAACATACAGATTGAAATTTTATATTGATAGCTACTCAGCACATTTTGATTAAATAATATCGCTCTGAAAAAACCTTACAAACAAGGAAGTTGGAAGAAGAATTAGAGTCGAAATCATAGTCCAGAAAATGAAAAACGCGAAAACGGAATGATTTAAACATTTCATAAAAATGGACTACAGAAAATTCGATAATGGGAGGAAATAGTGAATAGAAAACGATGGAGACAAATGGAAGACAAAAACAGCAAGGAATGATGATAGTGCGGATTATAAAAGATTATGAAAGACATTGGCCTCCCAGATGATAACGCAAGAGAAAGAGTCACATTTTAAATTAGCTAAGAGAGCATAGAAGGAATTTGTAGATGGAAGAGGACCCAGAAAAGCTACGAAAACAAAGGAGAGGATGGAGTGGATAAATTAAAAAAGATTAAGGAGGATATTGGCATTACGAAAGATGATGCCAAGTTGGATAATAGAAGGTTAGGTCGATTAGCTATGGGGCATGAAAGGAATCTGCTAGAGGAAAAACCGAGAGGATGAGATGGAATGATAGAATTAAAAAGATTCTGGAAGAGATTGGATTTATGGATGATTTACGAAATCAAGTTACAAGAACACGATACCTTTTGAGGAAACAAATGTCAAACGAGCAACAGTTGCTGTGAGTCGCTTGTATCCTTCTTTGCCCTCGCATAAGTTTCCACCACCAGAACGTTTTTTGTTTTCAAAGAACAAGGTAATGGAGTCTTCGGTTGTTGAATCCTTAATATCACTGACGTAAATTATTTTAACTGCATTTGCTGAATCTTCTGGTTCATAGCGTCCTTGGTAGTTTATTACGGAGCTGTACTGGTTCTGTTTGAAACAAATCAATAATATAAAATGCTGTGATTTACTGTATGTTTAAACTACTTGAACACGATATCTCAAACGTGGGGTCTGCTTACTTTAACCCGCCAATTGTCAAATAAAATACCCCAAGACTTCAAACACTTCACTTAAATGTAATGTTCAGTAAACGTAAAAGGTCTAAGAACTTTCAACGGCGACAGAAAATATGGCAACGACACCTTGGTCTACCGGTCATCCTCTTTGTTGGAAGAACGACATACGTAAAGTAAACATTTTCAGCCAACATTTCAAGAAATGTTATCATTTCTTTTCTGTCTGCCTGGGTTCCCTTTACCTCAAGCAAACCAGAATCAATTTCCAGAACAGCAACGCCTTCCGCTTTGCAACTTTGTTCCTTCTCTTTAATTCTGCCCAAACACTGCTCCTTTAAGAAACGAACTTTCATCGGATCCACCGGTTTAAATGTACTGCTTGTTATCTTCTTTTCGTTAATTAAACGTGTTAGTTCATGTTCGACGTTGTTCATCTTTGATTTTTCACAGACGATCCAAATACTGCAAAAATCCACGAGTTCTTGGTCGACCAAAACTTGATGTTTATTAAACTGTTCCTTTTTGAAATCTTGTAACTTGTTTGACTTTACTAGGAAACTCGCTGTCTCTTCGTCGATTCTGATGCGTTTCTCTGAGGTTTTTGTATGAACGATGTCCAGAAGTCGTTTTTCCTTCAAAAATAAATATAAAATTATTTCTTATGACTTGTACATTATTAGTACACTACATGTCTCATTTTGAACGCCAAAAAACCTGACAAAATTTTATTTAAACTATAGAGCAAAACGTCATTTCTTATTGGTCTAAAGTATTACCGCACCCTTAACGTTCTACACTATATAATTAAGCTTCAGTAAGTTTCATAGTCCCTTATTCATCCATTGTTACTACAATAGCATACTAGAATACCAAACAACCTGTTGTTTTTGGTAGAGACAAACTTGAGAGGGCGGAAAAGAATTAAAACATCAAATTTATTTGTGTGAAATAATAGACTTAGTATTACCTCAGTATTATCACATTTCTTCAAGGTCATGATCTTAGCCTGGAAGCCTTTAGCCCCCACAGCTCCTGTTATGCTCACCAACATTAACATGACTTCATCTTTTTTTAACTCATCATTCACAATCCGGCATTCAGTGCGCTTCAGAAAATCTATCTGACGATCACTCATCTTGACGTCAATCTCCGAGATCTTCATCAAATCATGAAGGATCCTTAATTGGACATCCTTGATTTTTTCTGCCGTTCCTAGAAGTGATAATTTACCAGACGAGTTTTCCATTCCATGAATTTTCACTCGGGGAAATTCTGTCGTAACATTCTTGAAATAATTGATAAAATTCAAGAACTTCAGTTTATTTTTGTCCTCTATTACCAACTCTGTTGTTTCAAACTTGGCTTCTTCTGAAATCCTATCTATCGTTGCTTCGGCTGATCTTTTTTGCAGAGTAACATCCTCTTCCTTTCCAATGAAAGTAACGCGGTAACCATCAAAACTAAAATCAACTTTCTCTGTTTTGAATTCATCACGTTTCTCTTCGATCACTTCCTTAACTTTCTCGAAAACAGCTTTCGGAATTTTCACTTCTTCTTTGACAAACGAGTGCAAAAATTCCTTCAATTTGTTGTCAAAGTCGTGCGCGAGCTTGGGATTATCGAAATCTTTTGTAAAATGAAATCGTGATGTCTGTTTATCATATTTCATTGTCTTAAAGTCGAACTTCTTTTCAATCTCCTGTTTATTAAATATGTAATTCATAACAAGAGGGTCGATAGGGTAAGCGGCAGAGAATACCGTTATTTTAGTTGTAATTTCTTGTAGTTCTTCGAAGTCATCGTAGTACGGAATCACGTTTAAAGAGACACCTCTAAATTTATGTTCCTTTTTGACAAGTCCTGAAACAACTAAAATCAGAAACCCAATCAGTTAGAAACTGTTCTACCTAATGGTCCAGTGAGGGTAACTTTTTGGTTCAGTGTTACTACAGGAGAAAATCATAACTAACTGACATATTATAATGGATATATATAGTTCTATCAGTTCTAAACTATTTTCTCTAGAAATCTAGTGAGGATGAAGACATGCTTTATTGATTCAATACTCTTACAAAATCTTACTAGGGCACCCGGATTGTTGAAATCTGCTCAGTATTTGGGTGAACCTTTCATTAAAATAAGCCATATTTATACCTGAAGTTTTTTCGAAGTAAATTTTTGCAACTCCATTTTTCTTATCCAGCATCAAATCCGTGACTTGATCACCACCGATATATTTATTAGAAAATTTAAAACTGATATCATCCGAGTTCGTCCCTGGTGGTATGTTGCTGATTTTAATGCCTTTGGTCAGTGGAGCAAATTCCAGAGAAATAATGGAGCCGGCCAACTTCATGTCTTCGTTTGAATCATCTTCATCTAAATAGAAAATGATTTTTTTGCGCAGATATTAGCATACCGAGTCATTGATATTTGTGAGTGTGTCAATCGATCATTTACTTATTTAACAACTTTAATTCATCGGTACCAGTCTATAAGACAAAACAATTAGAAACAACTTTAATTTACTGGTACCATACATTATAAGTCAAAATCAGTGGACATCCCATATTGAGTGTACACATATAATGTTTCTGAGTGCTTCAGCATAAAACATCTACTGAATCAACAAAAAATAAAACATACAGCCATACACTGTATGCACCTACCTATTTCAGTTTTTAAAATCACAATGGCTTTACCATTTTTCCCAAACACAACGTTGAAGACATCGACATTTTTCGTTGCTTCTACAAAGTTTTGAAATGTTTCTTTGCTCGTCTCTGGTTTAAGGTTTTTTGCCAGTAGAATGCTTCTGTCGTGTGTTGGCTCAAATACTGTGCTCACTTTTAACAAATTGCCCTCCAGTTTAAGCGGTGTTTCGTTGGCTTTCGTGAGCACATTTTGTGCGTCTAAACATATAAATTGAACGTTTAGAACATGCATCTTTATTAAACAATATCGCACTGAAAAAATGTTACAAACGAGGAAGTTAGAAGAAGAGAAGAAGAGAATTAGCTACTGGGAGGAAAGATTATGGATTTATGCAATGTCGATGTAAGAAATCAAGTTATATGAACACAATACCTTTTGAGGGAACAAATGTCAAACGGGAAAAAACAGTGTCTGAGAGTCGCTTGTATCCCTCTTTGCCCTGGCATAAGTCGCCACCACCAGAACGTTTAAGTACCACAGAGCTGAGTTCCTGTTTCTGTTCGAAATAAATCAAGTCATTAAACTGTTATGACTTGTGTCTGAACTACCTGAAAATTATGAGAAGTTAACGTACGCGCACTGGACTTTTTAACGAAGGCTCTTTATCATGTGGATTACAGGGCTCGAAATAACGGCCGATCAACGATCAATGATCGGCAGGAAATTGTTTTTGATCGGCGAAGAAGCAAGGTTGCCGTTCATCTTGATCGGCAAGAAATATATTTGACCATTGTCTGAAAGACAAGCTTACCTGTACCCGGTAAAAGACAAATAAAAGTAATATAAAACACATTCAAAACACGCGAAAAGCTCTTGTTTAGTAATGCGAGTCATACGACAGGAAAGGCCGCAAGACTATCTTCTCGCTCTAAATTAATTTAATATAAAACAAATTTGCATGAAGTACTGTCGTCTCAGTCAACAGTCTGCAATGCGAACCGCTATAAACGACGATCGTTTTTGTTACAATAATTTCAAATTGATAGGATTTTTTGTTTTTAGTAGGATTTTCTCTTTTAATTTAATATTGAATAAAAGTATTAGTTCTTAATTGATAATGCTGCTGTGTTTTTTGCTTTTATGTGAAAAAATACAATAACTATAATTAAAACTTTTATAAAACTTGAAAAATGTTATAATAAACTAAAATTTATTAATACATGTTAAATGTAATTAAAATATTATAGTTTTGTATATATAAGTCCACAAATGTCGTAGATTTAAACTTGAATTTGAAATAAAGTTAAAGTTCCTGTTCAGATGTGTATTTACTGGCATATTTAGAATTTTTTTACAAGGAAATGAGAGCAAATGCTCCTGATCGGGCAGATT